CTGCCGTATCTCCATAAACTTGGTAAACTATGAGCAGCACCATCAATTCTAAAGCTTTTGTGAAGTGACTCCTTGAGTACATTCTGTAGTTCTCAGCAAACCTAACATGCCGGACCACAAAGCCTCGTCCTGTGGCCCTGTACTTCGCCCCGCCATGCAATACTGTGCGTCCAAAATAATGGGCTTTTGTTCCAAGAGAGAACGTGAAGAAAACCGAACAAAGCTGAAGCTGCATTATGATGAAGTCACCTAAAGCGGTTCTGAACCCTCTTTCGAGTCCAATCTCCATAACCATGGGCAGAGCCATTAGTAGACCCAGTTGAACTACAGATTGAGATGCCATTGCTGACTCGAGAGCATGGTTTCCTCTCATCTTTGCCTGCTTCATGATTGCAGACTCCATTCCACTTGATGCCAGGTAAAGTCTCCCATACAGGAAGGCATATACTATAAGAACAATCATCTGCACATTTTCAATATGACGGATTTAAAAAAAACAGCAAACAAATATGAAAACAGTAAAGTTCAAGGTACAAATTAAGTGACAGGCATTAAATTAGCATGATAATGTATATATCTATTTACTTCCCATAATCAATGTGCTACTTCGATATAATTAAATGTTACAGTAAGTATGGTTTTATAATATTTCAGAATATTATTATTATTATTATTTTGTACTTCACTGAAACACAAGAAGAAATTAGATGACGGCAACTTTTTTTTTTTTTTTTGAGGAAAAAAATTGAGACAGAATATAGTTCTCAGATTCATTAGCAGGCAGACTCTTTCCGTTGGTCAGTTGGACATAGAGGAAGTGGAAGTTACCATTGAGCTTATATAAAATCCAACAGTCGTGTAATAACATGACATCATGCGGAAGAAGTCAAAGCGATGCCCTAAGCGATAGAGATCTCTGCTAAGAATCTGCTCCCCATTACCGCATGCAACTTTTGCTTCGAAGAGAGAGATTTGATTGAGCCCAACATCACGACCTTTCCCCACCTGAATGTATTCGTGGTGTGTGACATTTCCTCTCCTTAAAGTAGAGTTGAAACCTGAAGAGTTTTTTATAAGGATATACATAAGATGCAACGTGCACTAAAAACTAGAATCAACAAAAGAGGAATGGAAAGGGCATCACCAGCAAAAATGTCCTCGCTTAGATTGATTCCTCCTGACGCTTTGCTAATACCACCTCTCGTAATGTGGAAAATTCTATCAAAAACATCTGGATGGCCGTAATGGAACCGAACCCTGGCAACATTTATAGAAAAATTTTACTATCTGATAAGGCCCAGGGTAGCAATAATGAATGACTAGTTTCCGGAAATATACAATGAACAGTTCTCCAAGGATGATAGATTAACTACTTCGCATAAGATATTGACGTTGTACGATACATGAAAGTCTGTTTCAAGTTTCAACTGTTCCAGCAGTAGTTGATCTCAGAAAATATTGTTATTAAAGTTCACTTCTTATATTGGACGTAATCTTGTCCAATATTGCTTTTACTGATAACAATAGTATAAACCTTCTCTCACACCTAGTAGAGACACAATGATCTATTATTCAAGTATTTAATAGTCAAAGCTGGCGTCACATCCCTACTGTGAAAACCCAGTATTCTAGATCCTCTCATATCTTCGAAATCAAAAAGACTGGAATTAGCAACAGTTTCATTGAAAATTTATCTAATCTTGAATAGAATAATATTGCTTAGATCTAGCAAGATACTTCAAAACTGCAACATGAATAACCTCTTATGAAAATTAAATGACTTAATATTCTGAAAATATTTATTAAAAACAGTTTATGCCATTAAGAATAACATATTTACTATAAAAGAGACTGTTACATCAATACATTGAAACTAAGGTAAACTAATCATAACACCTTTGTACTATTAGCGTACTTATACAAAATCATCTATATTATGATTTATTGCTTGTCCCATGGATCTTGATAGCATCACATTTTCTGTCAGAAAAGGGTATATGACAATCATGCAAATGATTATTTCAAAAAAATTCTTAATTACTTATATTAGTATGAGCATTCTGTGATACACTA